TCAGACAGGTTCAGATGCCCGAATGTTGCAGTATTTATGAAAGGTAGTTGCTATGCCACCACACACCTGCTACAATTCGCAGCTTCTCAATGTCTCTTCGCTACAATAAACAATACTTTCTCTTTCCTCACTTAGTAAACACTTAGGTTGGCAAATGAGAACCTATACATTCCATTTCCAAAGGATGATTTATCTCCCCCCTGTCCTTAAATGATCAATAACAGCAAGTCTAAATCGCCAGGAAATAAAGTCTAGTAATAATATTAAACAGAATTTCGTCGAACGTGAATTTGATTGGGTATGTATAATCACAATTTTCCTGGGGCAAATACTCTAGTTGGTGTTATGATAAACGAGAAAAGCTGTTGTCTCCTGTTCTATGAAATTCTAAGATGTTTGAAACTTTTTTAGAGTAACCTCTACGACTGACCGCCCCGGCAACGAAGACAACAAAAATAACTGATCGGTCGCTTTTCTAGTTGGTGATATTAGAGTTGAAGATACTTTGAATAGTAAAGTGGAATCTTTAGAATTTCTGAAAATAATTTGGTAAGTCGACCACGCCTATAATTAAGTGCTTCCCCGGAAGAGCATACATGGCTCAAAGTGGCAGGATTGGCTTCTGGGGACCTCAATAACTACACATGCTCAGATTCTACAATAACGAAACAGGCACACTTGCAGGAAATTATTATTTTCAACAAATCCGCACTGCAGACCGGAAAAGGTTTTTGGAGTATGATACTAAACAAGCCAGTTTGTGACTGCCTCAAGATAGGGCTTGTGGCTTGAAATAAAGTAATGCGGGATTTGCTAGAACATATCCGGATGGAAAAATGAATTTTTTTATCATTATTAAAGCCGGCAACATTCAGACTAATTTTCATGTGGAAGGCGCGTTAGACTTGAACCGAAGAAGTTCGAGATATGATTGATACTCCCTTCCGTTGGCACGTATTTCAATTGATTGTCGTCATAAAAAATATACCTTTTATTGATCTCTGTCAAATTTTAAAAGACATCTCCTTCAAACCTTCTATTGGTATCTATGTTTTTTTCAGAAAAAATGCATACGCATTCAGGCACAGAACGATACAAATTAATCCATACTTTTGCAGCTCAAGGGCTGACCACTGAAAAGTACCCTGTAGGTTGCTGATGTGCACATGACATTTAGATAAATGTGGTTTTTCAAAATATTCAGTAGTACTTGATAGTACAGAAGCGTTATCGACACCCCTATCACAGACTGCAATGATCACTGCTGGCGTACTTACCGTCAGCAGCTAGATATTTCCCAAACACAGGTGAGCACCCGGGATGTGGCTCGAAACCAAAAATTTTTGAAGCGAGCACTTTAGCGTTCCATGACCTGACGGTTATGATTCAAAATATTTAAAGTGGACCTTCCCATGATCATACCCGATCTATTCGGGCTCAATTTCGTCTCCTCTAACGCTTAGGCGTACGCGGGCGGAAATCGGTAACGGCACATTTGGTAGGGTATGTTCAGTATAAAGAAAAATGTTCTAGACCAGTAGATCGCTACAAAAAATTTCGAACTCTACAAAATAATATATGCAAAAAAGAATGAGACAAGAGTATTCAGCCTGAGGCAGTCTGTCAGAGGTCAAGCATATGGCAAACTTCGATTGTTTCACCTACCGTGGAGTAGGCCAGCGTTCGAAAATACCACTGACGCATTGTGCGCTTCTGAACCACGGCTCCCGAACGCCAGGACCTCCCCTCAGCGTCCACTAATTCGTTCGCCAAGACGGTTTGATCCACTGGATCCCAGTTTACCACAGCCAAGCGGCGATAGGCTAAACCTGCCTTGTAGAGTTTTATAAAGAGCCACTGAGTCCATCTGTAGTAGGCAGGATCACAGGTTGAAATTTCTCTTGTCCAATCAAGGCTCAAAAGCATGTCCCGAGTCAACTGTTCACGCATGGATTTAATGTTGCTTGAGGAAGGAGAGCGAAAGGATAAAAACACTTAACAAAGCGCACATATTGACGGCATGTAGCTCCGATGCAGGTATTCACAGTCTAATTTCAAGTAACAGTGTCTTACTGGCATACCATCGATTCCCGTGTACAACGAAATCGAGGGCAACAAAAGCACATCAAAGGGTGATAACTTGAATCCAGAAGACCAACTGGCAAGCACAGGCGTGCATTAGATAAATTCTCGTCGGGTCAGTACAGTTGTATGGGAATGGGAGACAAGTTAAACAGGCGGCCAATTAGATTCAAATTCACATAAAAGGCATCCGTGTGAGTAGGGGAGCGGGGTGATAAGAGATAGCCGGTTAAGCGGCAGCGAGGTTTAGTGGGACCGTTTCGGTGGGGAAGGGGAGAGAGAGGGTGCGGAGGAGAGCAGACAGTACATGCCCAACGAGAATTTATCGAGAGCACGTGTATTCTTGTCATCTGTTCTTCCAAATGATTTCACACGTCT